CTTTGGCTGAGATAGTTACAGGAAGCTGACAAATTAGGTTGGACGCCACATGAAGAGCCTTGAAAGCCACGTGTAGAAGGGCTTAGACTTCTTTTTTTTAAACATGTTTTTATTTATTTTTTAGAGAGAAAGGGAGAAATAGAAACATCGATGTGAGAGAACAACATTGATCGGCTGCCTCTCACCCCCTACTGGGAATTGAACCCAGAGCTCTTAGTCCATGGAACGACGCTCAGTCCACTGAGCCAACCAGCTGGACGGGACTTGATTTTCTAAGCAGTGGAGTTCCAGGAAGTATGTGAGGGAGAGACAAGATCAAACCTGTCATAGGAAATTTGATGAGCCAGGATTGGATGGGTTCTCACAGAGGAGAGAGTTGGAGACCTGGAGCTTTAGTTAGGAGACAAGAGTAAAAGTAATGGCCTGGATCAAGGGGGTGAAAGGGTATGCCCGGCCAACTTGGATGTAGACATTAGTTCATTTCTTTTTAAACAAAATGAAAAGTTATTATCTTTTTATTGTTATTTTTTTGTATTGATTTTTAGAGAGAGGAAGAGAGAGATGGAAACACTGACTAGAGAGAACATCAATTGGCTGCCTCCTGCATGCCCCGCATGGGGATCAGGCCCACAACCTGGGCATGTGTCTCAACAGGGAATCAAACTGGTGACCTCTTGGTGCATGGGTCGATGCTCAACCACTGAGCCACACCAGCCAGGCGAAAAATTACTTTTTAAAACTCGGTCCTTACTGGATTATTGCCATTTTTTCTTGGTAGTAATTGGAAAGGAGTGGGTGTGAAGTCAACAACTAGTCCATTTATTTAAAAAATCAGTGACAGTTTTTTACCATTTTCTGATTCTGATTTCTACAGAAACATCAGGTTAAGTTCTCGTTTGTTATGTAGCCTAAAATATCATGAATGGACATTTTTCACTGTAAAATAGATACAGGCTTATCTATTTCCCATGGTCTCATATCTAAAAAAAAGACAGGTTGTCGTCTGCTTGGGGTAAGGAAAAGGAAGGCTAAAATGATTGGATCTGCAGTTTTTGGAAGTGCTGCCGTTGGCCGTTGCGAGCCAAGCCTCTAATTCCGTTTTCTGCTGTTCACATCATTTTTTCTTAACCAAGTGGCCCTAAGAAGGGTGACCATTTGGGCACAGTCTTTCAGATCAGTTTTTGGTCACTTGGGAGCATTTCGTTTTCTTAGTGACGGAAAATGAGTAAGAGTGACGAGACAGCAAGCAATAGGCGTTTACAAGTTCCCGAAAGCACACATGTCCTTCGGTGAGGAAAGATGTGACAGCACTTTGTCATTTGTAATGCATCACATAAGCAAATGTCAAGGTTTTTGAGAAGAAGAATACCTCATATCTTTCGTGCCTCTTGGCACAAAGCCATTTTAATAAGAGCCTGGGAACGTGCCGTAGACGAGTGGCGATGTTGGCTTGTGAACTGCATCTAATGAAGGCTGTGGTGTGTGTGCTGTGACCTGGTGTCATGTCTGAACATAGTCAAAAAACGTGGACATTGCAGAAAGACAAGTATCACATTGTCTCACTTACATGTGCAATGTAATGAACCAAATAGATAGGAATCTCGGAAAGAGGGAAAGGGGGAGGGATGCGGGAAGAGGGGAAAGAAAAACCACGGACATTGAGAATCTCTAGTTACTCACCACTTAGGTAAAGCAGGAACATTTACTTTTAACAATTTATTGTTCAATATCTAACAATTTGTTCAATAGAAATAACCTCTAGGGAGGGGGAGGGGGAATCAGTGGGGGGGGGGGCAGAAACATCTGTAACAAAAATTAATTTTAAAAAAAAGGAAGAACCTCTAAATAGTCAGAAAAAGTGAGTTATTTAAAATATATATATACTTTTTATCCTCACCCGAGGACATTTTTTTGTTTTTTCTTCAGATAGAGTGGGAGGGAGAAAGAGAGAGAAACATCGACATGAAAGGGACACATCGAGTGGCTGCCACCCGCACGACCCAACCAGGGCCGGGGACAAACTGCAACCGAGGTACGTGCCCTTAGCGGGAACCGAACCCGGGACTCTCTGGACCATAGGCCAACGCTCTAACTGCTGAGAAAACCAGCCAGGGCTAAAATATTTTTAAAAATAAACACTTATCCCTTTTTTTCCTTTCCATACCTATCTTTGAGCAGGGGCCATGGAGACAGAGAATAAGTAGTTCCTTCTTTAAATAAAATGTTGAGCTGTTGCCCGGCTGGTGTGGCTCAGTGGTTGAGCATAGACCCATGCACCAAGGACCCATGCACCAAGAGGTCGCCAGTTGGATTCCCGGTCAGAGCACATGCCCAAGTTGTAGGCCTGATCCCCAGTGGGGGGCATGCAGGAGGCGGCCAATTGATGTTCTCTCTCATTGATGTTTCTCTCTCTCCCTCGCCCTTCCTCTCTCTCTAAAATCCAATAAGGAAAAAAAACGTTGAACTATTAATATATATTTTCTAGCAATATAGTTTTTGTTTATGATTTTTGAAGCTTTCTTAATTTCTTTGTGAAACAAAGGTATAGATATAAATACATGAAAAACTTAAGTTCAACCACCTCCTGGGTATTTCTTGACCCCACCACAAGCCCACCCCACAGCAGGAGCCCTTTCCCTCAGACAGTCTCAGGACTGTCCTCGCCCCACCCTTGGGCTATTTTCAGATGCTGTCTTCACCTTCACAGGGAGGTCTTTGTCCACCACCTTATTACCAGAGGGAAAAGGGGTAGGGGCAGGTAGAAGAGGATAAAGGGGGATGGATGGTGACGGAAAGAGACTTGACTTTGGGATGTGAATACACAATACAATATGCAGGTGATGTATTATAGAATTGTACACCTGAAACATGTAATTTTATTAACCAGTGTCACCCCCCCAAGAAATTCAATAAAAATTAATGAAAAAGAAAAGAAAAATATTAAGTTCAGATCATTTTTATTGGACGATTCTATTTATTCTTTTATTCGGTGCAAACATTAAGTTTCTTACATGTTTATGTCACTGTATCCTTCATCCCAAATTCGGCTCTGAATCTGGCGTTGGATGCTGCTTGTTTTATCATACCCTGAACAGATTCATGGGAGTAAACTTTGCCGTGTCATTTTTCCCACTCAAATGCCATCGTTGTGTGTCGTTTGGGTATTAACGCATCGGAAGACAGCAGGTGGTTTTTCTCTTTGGCCTGCTCAATAAGGACATTCCTACCTGCTTCCATGAATTCGAGTGCTTAGAATGACCTTTATTTAAAGGCCAAGGAACTCTTAAAATAAGCCAAAAAAAATGCTTTCAAACCATAAAGTTACTAAACAGACATAAGGTATGTACTCCCCCAAGATGGGCTCCCATCTGGCTCAGAGGAGATACTAAATGAAGTTTTGAATCTGGAATAAATTAAATAATTTTGAGACATTTATAAATGAGAGAATAGCCTTAGATACCTAAGTAGTCTCATGGCCTAAGGAAGTTGGGAAGAATTGAAAGAATATTCTTGCCCTGACCAGTGAGGCTCAGTTGGTTGAGCGTTGTCCTGGGTACCAGGAGGCTGCTGCTTGATTCCCTGGTCGAGTGCACAGGCCCAGGTTTCGGGCTCCATCCCCAGGGTAGGGGGCGTGCAGGAGGCAGCCTATCAATGTTGTGCCTTCACATTGATGTTTCTCTCTGTGTCTCTCACTCTAAAAAGAAACTATTTTTAAAAATACTTTTTTACCAGTTTGGCTCAGCGGTTAGAGCGTCAGCCCTCAGACAAATGAGTCACAGGTTCAATTCTGGTCAAGGGCAGGTACCTTGGTTGCAGTTCTGGCCCTGGTCGGGTCATGTGGGAGGCAACAGTCGATGTGTCTCTCTCACATAAATGTTTCTCTCTCTCTCTCCCTCCCTCCCACTCTATCTGATGATAAGTAGAAAAGTATCCTTGGGTGAGGATTAAAAAAATAAAATAAAAATACTTAAAAAAAAAAAAAAAAAGAAAGCCTTGACCCATTTTTGCTCAGCGGTTAGAGCCTAGGCCCACAGACCGGAGAGTCCCGGTTCGGTTCCCGCTAAGGGCACGTACCTCAGTTGCAGTTTGTCCCTGGCTCTGGTTGGGGTTTGTATGGGTGGCAATCACTCGATGTGTCTCTCTTATGTGGATGTTTCTCTCTCTCTCCCTTCCGCTCTGACGATAAATGCAAAAATGTCCTCAGAGGATTTAAAAAAGAAAGAAAGAATATTCTTTGTACAGACAGAGAAACTCAGGAGTGTGCCCCACCTCCCTGGAGGGTCAGTTTTAACAGAATTGTGACTGTGCTTGTTCATTTGAACATAATATGTCAGTTGCTCTTGGCCTTTCTGTTTATCAACACAATCTACAAGATGTTAATCACAGGGAAACAGAAGCTTTATTAGGCATTTCAGCCTCCCAGGGTTGTGGGATTTATTGACTTAATGCCTCTCTCCCCCTACCCCCCACAAGTCATCTGACAGCCTGGGCCTCCCTCCCCAGGCTGCATCTGAAGGCGCCTGGCCCCGGGCTGGGGCTTAGTGTGCCTCCCATCGGGTGGCTGAGGTTCTTTCCCTTGGATCCTGCTCATTCTCTTCCAGGGTGTCAGATGTACTTGGTGGACTTCTGTTGATGTGAAAAGTAAATCAAGTTAGGCCATCCAGGCTGCAAATTCATTATTTAATCCCTCTTAACTTCCTCATTATGCCCTAATAACCAGAAAATAGAAGCAGCTCAGAGTAACAGTGCTGGGGCCCCACCCCCCACTTTTTTTTTTTTTTTAAGGAAAAATGGATAATTATATGTTTGTTTGTTTTTTTAAAGTCTGGAAAGATGCACAAAATTTAAACCATATGAATTTAGGCGATTTTTTTTTTTTGCTTACTTGTTACCAGCAGACATCCATGTTTTGCTTATAGAATAAAATCGGTTTATTAAGGAAGAAGAAGCATGCTGAGGTCCACGTCGCTAACCTTTCTGTCTTTCTTCTCTTCTTGCAGAAATTGAAGCCAAAGAAGCTTGTGATTGGCTGCGGGCAACAGGCTTCCCCCAGTACGCGCAGCTTTATGAAGGTGAGCCAGAACACCATTTTTTTAAAATAATGTAGCCAGCACCTGAGACCCCCACCACTCAAAACAGAAGTTAGGCTCTTGATAATAACATAGCCACGTGCTCTCCCATTTGGTCCCTCTGCCACTCTCCAACCCAAAGTCACCATCATCCTGAAACGTTCATCATTTTTTAAAAAATATTTAAGAAAGCATATTAGAATGATAAGCAGACTTTATTTTTTAATCCTCACCTGAGGACATTTTTCCACTGATTTTTTTTTTTTTTAATCCGTACTTGAGGACATTTTTGTATTTATCTTCAGACAGAGCAGAGGGAGGAAGAGAGAGCGAGAGACATCGATGTGAGAGAGACACACTGACTGGTTGCCTCCCACACAACCCCAACTGGGGCCAGGGATGGAACCGAAATCTAGGTATGTGCCCTTGACTGGGAATCAAACTCACAACTCTCTGGTCCGCAGGCCGACACTTTAACCGCTGAGCCAAACCAGCCACGGTGGCATTCAGCTTTTTTTTTTTTTTTATCCTCACCCGAGGATATTTTTCCATTTTTTTGTTCAGATAGAGTGGGAGGGAGAGAGAGAAATATCGACGTGAAGGGACACATCGAGTGGCTGCCACCCACACGACCAACCAGGGCCGGGGACAAACTGCAACCGAAGTACATGCCCTTAGCGGGAACCGAACCCGGGTCTCTCTGGACCGCAGGCCGACGCGGAGCCAGACTGGCCAGGGCGGCATTCAGCTTTTTAACTAAGAAAAATGAACCTTTGGTCCTAGCCGGTTTGGCTCAGCGGTTAGAGTGTTGTCCCTCGGACCAGAGAGACCCGGGTTCAGTTCCCGCTCAGGGCCCGTACATCGGTTGCAGTTTGTCCCCGGTCCCAGTTGGGGTCATGCGGGTGGCAACCACTTGATATGTCTCTCTCACGTGGATGTTTCTCTCTTCTTCTCTCCCTCCTTCTCTATCTGAAGATAAATGCAAAAATGTCCTCGAGTGAGGATAAAAAAAGAAAAATGGACCTTTGTAAAAGTAATTAGGATCTAGCATGGAGTTTTACTACTTTGTTTTCTCATCGGTGCCCCGGGGATCACTCGGGTGCTGAGGGCAAGGATGAGAAGCACCTCGAGTCTCCATCATGCTCCGAGCCTCTGGCTGCCTTGTGTGGGAAGAGTGTGCTCTGCACAGTGAGATGACGAGCTGTTCGTTTAAGTGAGAGTTTTATTATATGCTATACTAAATTATTTAAGAAAAATGACAGTTGTCAACTAGTGAACTCCATTTTACCAGTAATTTTCAAGCAAAGGTTGGGTGAATAGTGAGGTGATCCTAAATTGAGAGTAAATTAAATGACTTCCAGGGCTTCTTCCAACTGAGCATTCTTTGTTTCCTTAATACTACTGAGGGGACCACACTAGGTGTCTCTCATTTGTCATCTGTCATTCATCCAGCCATCCATGCAGCCGATGGAGCAGCTGCTATTAAGTCTGCACCAGCAAAGATGCCCAGCACGTGGTGGGTGCTGCCTATTTTATAAAAACAAGACATTTCAAACCTCAAAGAATAACTTTATGGGGTTTTCAGAGTCTCACAAAGGAAACATCATTTTGGTTGACATTTAAAAATAAATCTTTTTTATCAATTAAGAAAGAAGGAAATGCTATGTTAGCTACCTTATGACAACATCTCTAAAAGATGCAGGTGAAATGTTATCAACCAAATTTTTTTTCACCAAAGATGTTTAACTCTTCTCACAATAAATAGTGATTTTAAACCATATTTTAGTTCTTCTCTCCTTCTGAGATAATATAACAAGCAGACTGATTTCTGTAACAATGCCAGTAGGCTCTCAGTTGGAGCTAGGGGTCACTACCAGCCTTCTTTAATACATGGGCAAAATCCCATGAGCCCAGACTAAGAATGGATATAGTGTGTTAGCTTGGAAGTGCTAGACATGATCAGCAGGTTGCTTTGAAGAGGGACACGGAGTCGGGGGGTGGTGCTCCCCAGCAGCAAATTGGGTAGAGACCATAGAGATTATTTCTTTTCCCTTAGCTCACTCAGCTAAATTCATTACCTAATTTACAATACCTGGTCTTCCTTATTGTAGCCCAGATTGACTGTTTGATTTTTCCATGAAGATGGATTCAGAATTTTTTTATTGTTAGACTATGTAAAATCTTTGACTGCTCCTCCATTTCAGAATATCTCCAATTATTTTTTTCTCTTTCTTTTTTAAAGATACTTGGTTAGCCTGCATGTTTATTCTGGTGGAGTTGCTTATCTTTCCTTTGGAGAGAATGTTTGACCTGTTAACATGGAGAGTATCTCTGTCCTCCCTTAGGACTTGGGGAGGGGGTGCAGCTTTCTCTCAGATTTCCAGTTCACAGCTCTACTGGAGATGGGGGGAGATAATTGCATTTTCATGGCAGTCACAGGGCTGTCCTTTGTCCCTTTTGTTCTCCTATTTAGAAATTAAATTTCCTCCAATTATGTCCATCTTGGGTGTTGATTTGCTGCCAAGGTGCATTTTCTTGTGATGTGTATGTTTGCTAAGCCCCAGTTCCAGTCTCTGCCTCAATGCCTTCCCAAACCCTAAAATACAGACCGCATATGCACAGGTTACATGCGGGGGTCCGTTCGTCTTTACAGGTCTTTTTGAAGCGTAAGCCTCCTTTTGAGTTGCCTTGTTCTGAGCTATCACTGCTCCCATTGTTCCTGCCGCTGTGTGCAGGGTGCGAGCACACTCCACACACCAGCCCACACATTCCCTGTCTTCCTGTTCGGCTCTATTTTGGACTTTGGCAATTTTTACTTCCTGCCTTGAAACCCAAGCTGGAAGTTTAAATCATAACCTGAAGAACTCTGAGAATACCTTCTATGCATCAATAGACTATCATCTTTTAAAAGTCATTCCTTTTAAGAAAGATTTTAGGCAAATAAGAGAAAATTATTGACTTAATTATTTCACTCCTCTCTTGCTTTTAGCCACTTGGCCCTAAATTTTTTTTAACAAATTTTTAAAGTTAATTTGGATCAGGAGAGTCATCTAAAATACAGCCCTGGGTGAACTAAGTTAGGAATTGCTAAAATAACGTAGTTGCTGTCTCATATACACTTAACAGCATGTGAGCTTTTTAATTTATAATTATAGGTCTGATGTTATAATCTGGAAGTATTCAGAATACACTCTTTAATGTCAGCTCTGCTGTTTGATACTTAGCGTCTCTGGTGTGTTCAGAGTGCGGTGCGGTGGCAAACCTTCAGGCAGCCCTCCAGCCTCCCTTGCTTGTGTTGACAGCTCACAGTCACTGTAAGCCTCTCTTACTCCACTATATGGGTGCCATTAATCATTTGCCTAAGAGACTTGGTCTGTAATTTAATGACAAGATATAATCCTACAATACTAAATTTCATGTATTTCTTCATAAATCTCTGGGCTGTAGCGACTTCATTGGTTTTCCTATGCCTTCATTCAGGAAACAGTATGAGTAATCTAACTCCAGCCTTCAGAAAAAAAGAATTGACTATAACACTCATTATGTTAGTTTTCAACACTGTAAAAAAAAAAACCTTAAGTGTTCTCTCTAGAAAATAACTAAATTACCCATGAAGCATTCTGTAATTTATAGGAAGCCCCATTATTTCCCCTAAGAGCTGACCCCTGAAGAAGAAGAATGTGCTTCCGTCTCCTGGCAGTTCCAGAGTCGTTGTGAATTTCTAGTGGTGCTGCTGGTCTCCTACTCTTCCTGGGTTTTTCGTTTTCTTTTTTGGAGGGGAGGGGTGGACTTTTCAACAGAAATAGAAAATGATTTCTTTCATTGAGTTGACTGGTTTTCCCTTTCTGCTTTTTATTTCTGATAGAGCTCAGTATTCTAAGAGTATTGAGCTCTCCCACAGATGAAGGGATTTGGGGTTCTGTTGTCTACAGCAGCTTTATAACTGGTCTTCTGTTTTAGTAGGAGTTATGTAAACCCCTGAAAAGCCAAATGGAAGTGCTAATATGTGTTTAAAAATAGCACATCCTGAATTCTCTTCAGCTTTTGATGTCATGCAAACGGTTAGATTTGTTTTACCACCATTTGCCATTGTTCTCTATCTTTCCTTGGCCCAGTTCTCCATGACCTCTTTCCTGGTCAACTGAGCAGACACACATGGGGCAGGGGGAACCCAGCCACATGAAAGGGGAAGCATCTTTCTGCTATTCATTCTGGCTTAAATTTATAATGTATGACATAGCTCTGTCGGCTGCTGAATTGTTTGAAGGTGGGAGAGGGTTTTGAACCACTTATCTCTGACCAGAAGGGATACCTGAGTCTCCCAAACACTTTAGATCTTAGGACACTGAGACAAACTTTTCTTAAGCTGTTCATTCTCTCATAGCACGTGACAGGGATTGAGGTGTTTGTTCTGCACACAGTAGGTACTCAAAAGTACTTTGGAAACACCCCACCCCACCCCCGCTAAACTGGGCTAATTTGGTAAGAACCTAGGCTGTTCCAGAATGTGTTTTATTTTTTTATGTATTTGTCTTTTCAGATCTCCTGTTCCCTATTGATATTTCCTTGGTCAAGAGAGAGCATGACTTTTTGGACAGAGATGCCATTGAGGCTCTGTGCAGGTAAATGGAAATGCTTTGAGCATTTTATTTTTCTTTTCTTTTTTCAGAACAATGTGCATATCACCAAGGTGATTTTTGTTTGCTTTTGTTCTAACTAATTATGTCAGGTCTTTGATTAGCAAATGGGTATAGTAATTTACTTCATTATAAATCATAGGCCTTTTCATTAAATTAAGTAAAATTCTGTTATTTAGTATTGCCATTAAAATAGCGCTACCCTAGCCCTGGCCGGTTTGGCGCAGCGGTTGGAGCTTCAGCCTGCGGTACAGAGAGACCCGGGTTCGGTTCCTGCTAAGGGCACGTACCTCGGTTGCAGTTTGTCCCCGGCCCTGGTTGGTCGTGTGGGTGGCAGCCACTCGCACGTACCTCGGTTGCAGTTTGTCCCCAGCCCTGGTTGGTCGTGTGGGTGGCAGCCACTCGATGTGTCCCTTCACGTCGATGTTTCTCTTTCTCTTTCTTCCTCTCTCTCCCTCCCGCTCTATCTGAACAAAAAATGGAAAAATGTCCTCGGGTGAGGATTTAAAAAAAAAAAAAATAGCGCTACCCTAGGAGGTACTCAAATAATTCCATTCCAAATTCAATACTGTATGATTGGTCAATTCATTTATTTATTTAATTTTTTTAATCCTCACCTAAGGACATTTTTTCCATTTATCCTCAGATGGGGGGTGCATAGAGGCCAACTAGGTATGTGCCCTTGACCGGAATCTAACCTGTGACTCTGGCCCGTGGGCTGACGCTCTAACCACTGAACCAAACTGGCCAGGGCTGATTGCTCGGTTCAGATAGTTCAGAAACTTGGAACAGGATTTTTACAAAGGCAAAGTGATTGACTGCACCGCCCCAACCAGCTACCCTAACAGAGTCAGAGCTGCTATTGCATTAAATGAAAGTAACACATTCAGAGGAACGAATAGGGAGTGGGGTTATGGCACACCAGCGTCGGGAGGACCATTGCTCGAATTCCAGAAAAGCTTCTCAGAACCAGTTCTGCTTTTCCAGGTACAAAATAGTAATAGTAGATTAAATACGGCTGTAAAAGAACTGCACCCAGCCTTGAACACACAGTGGAGAGGCCGTAGACGAGCACTGATTTGAAATGTGAAGAAAACTTGGACATCTGCCCTGGCCAGTTTGGCTCAGCAGTTAGACACTGGCCCTGCAGACCAATGAGTCATAGGTTTGATTCCGGTCAAGGACACCTACCTCTGTTGCAATTTGTCCCTGGCCCTGGTTGGGGTCATGTGGAAGACAGCCACTCGATGTGTCCCTTTCACGTCGATGTTTCTCTCTGTCTCTCTCTTCCCCTCTCTCCCTCCCACTCTATCTGAACAAAAATGGGAAGAAAAAAAATGTCCTTGGGTGAGGATTTAAAAAAAAACAAAAAATTCGTACATCCTCATTCGCTGTGCTGGTGGGTCTTCAGGCTCAGTTTTATCAAAACAAAGTAAAAGAACATGCAGCAGACAACAGTGGACACCGACAATCCTTCTAAACTTTATGACATTTTGTTTGTTTTAAGTAATTTATGCTTCATAATTTTTCTCAAAACCTAGATGCCACAAAAGCTAGATTCTGGAAAAGAAATTACGCATAGACGAAATTCACATGCTGATTTGATTGTAAAATTGAAATAAATTTCCTTTTAATTTTGGTATTTATCTTACATTGCGAAAACATTAGGGTACAATGACGTCCAGTACTTATTTTGTTGGCAAAGAAAGCAGTGGCATCTCTCTGAAGGTAGTTTCTCGCCTGTCTTGTGTAACGCAGTGTTTTTGAAGCAGCTCACGTAAGCAGTGGTTTCAGGGAAGATAGGCAGGATGTTTAGAATGGTAGAGAAACTAGACTAGTTCTCATGGTTGAAGAAAGAAAAAAATCCCCCATTGACCACAGAGACACTGTCACTTTTCAAACCCAGTGGAATGACCGCTCAGAAATGCCCAGGGTCTGTGCCCACTTTCTGCAAGAAGCCCAGTTCCAGGCCGCGCTGGGTGCGTCATGTCAGAGCTATGTGCTCTGGAATGAAGAGCTCGTGCAGGTGAGGAGGGCGGGAGGCAGCTTTTGGAATAGAAACGACTGCGGACATTCTTAAAATGTTTTCATGCTTAGCTCTGCAGCAGAATTAATTTATTTTCAATTCATCACTGGTGGTAACACACAGAAGCGAGGCCACTCACACAATGTGTCCTAGGAGATATGTATGCATTGTCGCACCATCCATTTCATACGTGTGAAGCCACGTAGTGCGTGGCCCCTGGACAGCAGTGACAGCTTGGGAATCCCTGGCTTGGAAAAATACCACTGCAGTGTTGCGGCCCGAAGGGTCATGATCAGATTCTCGAATGCTTTTTTTTTTTTTTAGTATCAATTTGAAATTTAGTTTCCCTGCCCTGAGGGGAAAGGCACCGGTGTACGTGGTGATTTCCACGGGCACTTCTCACCTTTTCAGAGGCTACCTCCCTGTACAGGGAGAACCTGCGCTGCCAGACATTTTGTGAAAAGCCTGAAAACAGCCCTTGGTCTGTGTTTGGACTCCAGCGTGTTCTGGCCGGGCTCTGGTTTCCTCTCGGGCCCAGAACACCTCGCAGGTTACACGTGAGAAGGGGATGCCGTGCCGACGGGCAAAGCGCTTTCAACCTGACGCCGGATCTGAGCCTGTGGGGAAAGGCTGGAACTTGGGTTTTCTTTTTTTAAAAAAATCTTCAGAATTCACAGTGACAGTCATCAACTTGCTTGTAATGGAACCCAAGGGCTCTTGTTCACAGGTTCAGACAGATAGAATTTTCATGGAAAATGGCTTGCCTTTGAGAGGCCTAAACCAATATTCCAGAAAAAAAAAAGGTAGGGGCCATCTACAGGGTAGTTCGAGCATCTTCCTCTGAAATGTGCTGCAGGTTCTGAGCTGTCAGCGTAGTTGGAGACACTTGTTTTACGTATTGTTGTAGTCATGTCGTCTGCTCTGGCCTCTTCCATATACTTCCCAGTCCATGGGATTCGGGGGCAGCCAACCATGAATCTGGAGTGTGGTTTGAAATTTTGCCTTGTTGAAATATTTTCAATAGTTGATTTTTTTGTTGTTGTTCTAATCCTCACCTGAGGATATTTTCATTGCTTTTTAGAGTAGGGGGAGAAACATTGATGTGAAAGAGAAACATTGATCAGTTGCCTCCTGTACATGCCCCACCGGGGCCGGGGATTCAACCCACAACCTAGTCAGGGAATTGAACCCATGACCTTTTGGTGTATGGGACAATGCTCCTGCCAATTAAGCCAAACCAGCCTGGGCTTGAGTAGTTGATTTTACTTATTTATTTATTTATTGTTTTGTTTTGTTTTTGTTATTTTTTGCTTTTTTTATCTTCACCTGAGGACATTTCTACATTCATCCTCAAATAGAGCATGAGGGAGAGAGGGAGGAAGAGAGAGAGAGAGAAAGAAACATCAATGTGAGACAGACACATTGAGTGGTTGCCACCCACACGACCCCAACCGTGTCGTGGGACAAACTGCAACCAAGGTACGTGCCCTTAGAGGGAACCGAACGCAGGACTCCCTGGTCCCCAGGCCGACGCTCTAACCGCTGAGCCAAACTGGCCAGGGCTATTTATTTATTTTTTTAAATATGTTTTTATTGAGAAAGGAAGGGAGAGAGCTATAGAAACAGCAATGTGAGAGAGAAACATCTATCAGCTTCCTCCTGCGTGCCCCGCACTGGGGATTGAGCCTGCAACCCAGCCATGTGCCCTGACCAGGAACCAAACCGGGACCTCTCCTTCAGAGTTACAACTGACTCCTCCTGTAAACACATCAGTCCATGGTTCGATGCTCAATCCACTGAGCTACACTGGCCAGGGTTGAGTAGTTGATTTTAAATACAGACGTTAATATCGTTACAGAAACTCAGTTGAAGTTTTGCTTTAATGAAATATTAAATATTTGATATTTTTACTTTAAATAAAACATTTTAAAATTTACTTGAAATAAATTTAAATAAAGTAATTCTTACATGATTTTCCTTTCCTGACACCATCGCCCAACACAAACTCTTACACACACACACCCCCACCCACCCATACACACACAGATGTTACAAGTGCTCACACAGTACTGTTCTAAGATTTATTATAAATATTTGTGCACTAACATTTGCAGATCTTCTAGCTCCTTTGGTCAAGAATCTGGTAGGAGCTGATGTCTTAGCAAAGTCTACTTAGGGCAGAAGACTTGAGAAGGATGGTGATTCTCTCTTAAATATCAAGTTTGGTAGTGACCAAAAGTGATAGGTATGGAACTACTCAGTTTTTCGGATTTGGCGTGCTAACCGACATTCTTACACTCACTAGGAAGGGGCTTATGTATTCGTTTCCTCGGAGAGATTGGCTTGTGTCCCAGTCTTGCTGGCTTTGCTGTCTAACCCAGCCCCAATGATAAGGCCAAGACTACAAGAGTCACATTCAGTGTGAACGCTTGCGCAGTGACCCCCTTGTCTTGAAGCACGTGCAGACAGAGACACAAACTGGAATCTACTGTTGAACACCGCTTGTGAAGTGTTCTTTGTCTCTCTATAGCTTCTGAACAATATTCCGTATTGCTGTTTTCCTTTGGAGTTACAACCGACTCCTCCTGTAAACACTCCAAAGAATTATGTAAATAAGGTGATCATCATATAATGATAGATATTCATGCTGTCAGTCAGTCTGCACTTGGTTGTAAAACACCCTTGAAATGCCTAAGCCTACAGCAGCCCGCCATATAATAGGTTCTAACTTCGTTATTATTTCTGGCCTGTTAACAGGGAAGCGAGTAATTTTTTAAAGTAATTGCACTGATTCCAAAAAGTTATCTTTAAGAGTTGGAACGATTTTCTTTTCTCACTCTTCTCTTGTACCTCTCCCTGTTGTCTGAGTCAGCGGCCCAGAAGTCCGCCTGCGATGCTTTTATCAGGTGCTTGAAGCTCCCTGCAGCAAAGCTCTTGAACCTCTGATGGCCCACCCCGAGCGTCCTCCCCCTTCAGAGCAGGGAACACGTTGCCCAGCAGATAAGACTGACACATTCCTGTGGAGCTGCGCCTGTGAGGGCCCTGGGGGCGGGAACGGCCGGCTTCTGGGCAGATGGTGTAATACCGCGGTTCTGCCACTCATTCAGGAGTCGTACTTAAGATGTTAGCTGCCCGTATATTATCACGATGAGCATTTACTTTAGAAAACGCGGAAGAAGGTACTGTTTTCAAGTGCCAGAGCCACCATGTTTAGTCATGTGGCCTTGGACAAGATACGTGGCCTAAGCCCCCATTTTCTCGTCTATAAAATGAAGTTCCATAATAATATCTATGCCTTAGGGTTGTTGTGAGGACCAAGGTAAAAAAAAACAATACATATGAGGTATGGGCATAGTGCCCGACCCAGAGCGAGCCCCTGACTGGTCTAGCTGGAACTGTTCTCTCTTAGTATGTTTGGTCCCACCAGTGGGCATTCTTTGGAGGTTCTAGGGGGCAAATGAATCCCACACAAACCCCAGAGAATAACTTCTGGGCTTCTAAATTGGCAGGCCATTACTTCGGCACCACCAACAGAAAAAGATAGTGTTGACCTTTATAAAACTGGCCTCCTCAATCTTTTTTGTTTGACTCAAATCTAGAGTTTGTGAAGTCAGCCCCTCTGGCACCCGCATAGGCCTCCATGCCCAGTAAACGTGGTTATAAACACCACTCAGCCATGAAAGCCCAAATGAAGTCAAGTGGGTATTTGGTTACAGGTGTGATTAATGAAACCCAGACCCAAGACTAACTGCAACCATTCCAGATTCTTTAAGTCTTGAAAACATGTGAGAACTAAAACACTGGGTATATAAGTCCTTTAAATAATGATGCCCCTTAGAGAGGGACCTTGTGTCCAGTCATTTGCAAGTCTGTGGACTTTTTCTTAGTTACTTGTTTTCTTTCCCCTCCCATCCCCAGAGAGAATTTTCCTGAACATAGGTGCTCTGGGTTATCTTTGTTTATTCTCCAAACAGGCTACCACATAACTTGTGAAATCAAAGGCAGTCTATCAGCAGGCAGAAATACTATTTATCCTCCTGCATGTCAAAATCGTTAGACAAGTTGCAAGAGCAGGATTAGACATGTAAAGCCTTGAAGAGGTCTCGTGGTCAGTTTGAATTTGTGTGAGTTAAATGCTCTTATCCTATGAAAATGGAAGAATTGCAGTTGGAAAAATTGGAAGACGGAGGGTGCAAACCCGCAAAGACATTCAGGGTTCATTTGAGGAGGACTAGCTGGTGGTTACCTGGAAGATGTTAGAAAGAACTGGGGTGGACTGTCTCTCCTTCACACTTTAACTATTTCATTTTCAATGAAACTAAGTTATAAGTTTAATTAGCATTACTGTTTGGCAGCGGTGAAATAAAAAATAGGAGTTACAATATGACTCCGGTTCCGAAAAAGAATCTGATCCAAGTGCTTATTTTTGAATTCTGTAAGATTTTGCTCCTTGAAGCTTCCGTATACAAATTTTTTTTTTTATCCTCACCCGAGGACATTTTTCCACTTTTTGTACAGATAGAGTGGGAGGGAGAGAGAGAGAGAAACATCGACGTGAAGGGACACATCGAGTGGCTGCCACCCGCACGACCAACCAGGGCCGGGGACAAACTGTAACCGAAGTACGTGCCCTTAGCGGGAACCGAACCCGGGTCTCTCCAGACCGCAGGCCGACGCTCTAACCGCTGAGCCAAACTGGCCAGGGCATATACAAATTTTTTAATAGTCATTTACACTGTTGCTGTAACGATACCAAAACTATTCTGGTGTAAAAAGAATCGGGTATTTAAAAGGCCTCAATTTTCCTTTCTGGATTAGAACTCACTAAATTTTTAAACAGGCTGCCTATTATTGGTTGGAGATGAGTAAAATTGTCTTATTTTTATGTGTGAATTTTGACTCGAGATAGAACATCGTGTTTATTTTACCAACAACTCTGCTTGGGTCCTTGTTGCTGTGACTGTTTCTATGAAAGGAGACCTCACTGGCATTTACTTCTTGGCACAGTGTGGAGCCAGCTCACAGCTCAAGCGAGGGTCACTGAGAATTGTTTGTTCCACGAAGAATAAGAAGCACCTGACTACCTTACACAGCATGTGCCATTTTATTATATAATAGTAAAATAAAATTTAAATGGAAAAGCTTACATTTAGAGGTATTTTTAAGCTACTCACTTTTAAAAGAGAAGTTTCTATTTCTCTTTTAAATTAGAAATATTAATGAATTCAAAGAAACTCATTAAACATGTCAACTATTTGGGAAAAAAATATTGCTCCGCCCATCAGAGGTGTCCAATTTTTGCTAATATTATGTCTTTGCTCTGTAGGCGTCTAAACACTTTAAACAAATGTGCGGTGATGAAACTGGAAATTAGTCCTCATCGGAAGAGAGTGAGTATATAAAATGTGTAATAGGATGGGAGGAAAGGGGGAGACGAGAGACTTGATTGGTGTGTTTTGTAATAGGTTTTGTTTTCAAACTTTTCCTTCCTTCTCTAAATCATCGACATTTTTAATGTTATAAATCAGTCTAGTGTACCAAAGACTGTGTAGCATTATATAATTGAGACATATAAGCTATAGCCAGACAATAAATTGTTTTTCCTGCTGTATTTTTTAATTGAGATGTAATTGACATATACCACTATATTATCAATTCCTGGTGCACAATATAATAATTGCATATTTGGATATATTACAGAATGATCCCCATAATAAGTTTAGCTAACATCTGTCACCACACATAGTTGCAAGTTTTTTTTCTTGTGATAAGAACTTTAAGATCTACTCTCTTAGCTACTTTCAAATATGCAACATAGTATTATTAACTATGGTCACCTTGCTGAACATTTCATCCCCAGGAATGACTTATAACTGGAAGTTTGTAGCTTTTTACCCCCTTTACCCATTTTGCCCCACGCCCACCCCCCATCTCTGGCAACGACCAGTCTCTTCTCTGTATCTGTAAGTTTTCTTCTTGTTTTTGATCTGAACAAATCATCCATTTGCCTCATTAACTCAATGCCTCCTCCATATTAAAGGGATGGGGCTGAAGGCAAGGTGGTAGACTTTGCATTGCTCCCTACAGAATTACAGCTGTTCCCATATATAACAGTAAGTATGTTTCAGAGCTGCAGAGATTTGCGTGAAGGCTGGATTGTGAATACTGAAGAATGATGAGTTTTGGAGGGAGGAAAGGAATTGGGAGAGAAGGGAGGGCAGGAAATCCCACACATTCTAGTCAAATGGTGACACATAACTGAGTCAGATGGTATTTTCTTCTAGGTCTGAAATGTGAGGACCTTTTATGAGCTTAGGAGAAGTGGTGGGTGTAGTATTGGGAGTGAGTGTCACAAATTAGAGTAAACAGGAATACGTTTGGTCAAAGAACATACTTCTGACTGTTCAGAGCACACATTTTAATTATCCTGGAGTCCCTGGCCTGCAACAAGTTGCCTTCTTAGGGAAGTTAAACCTTTTAAACAAATGAACTGGAACCTCAATGCCCACTGAGCCGTGGAGAAGAGGCTACAACTCAGCGTTTAATGCTCTTCACTCGCTGTCCTGTGAAAATGGGCCATATTTCCCACACCAGAGGGAGAGGTATGCAGCATACTGAATCATGCACGTCTTTTGACATTTCTCCTGAAAGGCTCAGATGCAATAGCTTATGTTACAGCATAACCCTGAGTCCTGCCCATAAATCAAGCATAATCAGCAAAGATGTTACTTAGCATTTGTGAATGTTACCTACTGTCAGGACTGGGTATTTGTGAAGCCCTGTTAAATAGCCTGCAGTCAGTCTGAGGTTGAAACTTCACAGGACACTTGTGGCATTAGCTGTAGACCCGGTGTCTGGTGGGGGAGGGAATGGAAAAGAACAGGTAAGAGAGTAAAGAGTATGTAATGGCTTACTTTGCTTGGTGTCTCTGCTGGTCTATTAGGAGAGCATGGGAACTTTTAGGGTGGCTAAAGGCTTCAGTTACCACTCTTCTTAGTGTTTGGAAACTACCTTTTTAATTGCAAAAGGGGATATAAACACACTATCAACAGACAGCAAAATTGGAGGCAGAGCAGAGGGTGTCCTACCAGCTGCTGACTCCAGTTCAAAATATTTTGCATGCCTGGAATTTCCACAGATCTCAGAGGTTTCCTCTGTGAGCAATGAAAGAACAGCCTATAGATCCCAGAGTTTCCATAAAATAACTCTTATTTCCCTTCAAATACTTGGTCAGGCTATTTCCTGTTACATTCTTTACGTGTATAGATGTAAAATAGAGATATAAGGCTGGGGGTCGGCCCTGATGGTGTGTTATAAGCAGTCACCTGGACCCTGGACTTCAGCACACCCTGCTCCCTGCTGATCGCCTGTTCCGGGGATAAATGGCTTTATTCTGTCTTTTCAGAGTGAGGATTCAGACGAGGATGAGCCTTGTGCAATAAGTGGCAAGTGGACTTTCCAGAGGGACAGCAAGAGGTGGTCCCGGCTTGAAGAGTTTGATGTCTTTTCTCCAAAGCAGGACCCAGTGCCTGGGTCCCCAGAGGATCCCCACCTGAAGAATGCCCCGAGCCATGAAAGCATGCTGACAGACTTCAGCGAGCGTCAGGAGGTGGCTTCTGTCCGCAGCCTCAGCAGCACCAGCAGCCTCCCCACCCATGCGCCCCACAGCAGGGACCCCGCGACACCCCGGACTAACTCCGTCCTTAGCGTCTGCTCCTCCTCTGGCAACTTTGTAGGCAATGACGACTCTTTCTGCAGCCTGCCCTCTCCCAAGGAACTGTCCGGTTTCAGCTTCAGCATGAAAGGCCACGAGAAAAACACCAAGTCCAAGACGCGCAGTCTGCTGAAACGCATGGAGAGCTTGAAGCTCAAGGGCTCCCACCATGGCAAGCACAGGGCGCCCTCCAAGCTGGGGCTGATCATCAGCGGGCCCATTCTGCAGGAGGGGATGGACGAGGAGAAGCTAAAGCAGCTGAACTGCGTGGAGATCTCCGCCCTCAACGGCAACCACATTAACGTCCCCATGGTACGAAAGAGGAGCGTTTCCAACTCCACGCAGACCAGCAGCAGCAGCAGCCAGTCTGAGACCAGCAGCGCCGTCAGCACGCCCAGCCCTGTCACCAGGACCCGGAGCCTCAGCGCCTGCAACAAGCGGGTGGGCATGTACTTAGAGGGCTTTGACCCCTTCAGTCAGTCGACATTCAACAACGTTGTGGAGCAGAACTTCAGGAACCGGGAGAGCTACCCAGAGGACACAGTGTTCTACATCCCAGAAGATCACAAGCCGGGCACTTTCCCCAAGGCCCTCTCCAATGGCAGTTTCTCTCCCTCAGGGAATAGCAGCTCTGTGAACTGGAGGACTGGAAGCTTCCATGGACCTGGCCACATCAGCCTAAGGAGGGAAAACAGCGACAGCCCCAAGGAGCTGAAGAGACGCAATTCCTCCAGTTCTATGAGCAGCCGCATGAGTATCTATGACAATGTGCCGGGCTCCATTCTCTATTCCAGCTCAGGTGACCTGGCTGACCTGGAGAACGAGGACATCTTCCCTGAGCTGGATGACATCCTCTACCACGTGAATGGGATGCAGAGGATAGTCAACCAGTGGTCAGAGAAGTTCTCAGATGAGGGAGACTCGGACTCAGCCCTGGACTCAGTCTCTCCGTGCCCGTCCTCTCCCAAACAGATACACCTGGATGTGGACAATGACCGAGCCACACCCAGTGACCTGGACAGCACAGGCAACTCGCTGAATGAACCCGAAGAGCCCTCCGACATCCCAGAGAGGAGGGATTCTGGGGTTGGTGCATCCCTGACAAGGTCCAATAGGTAAGAGCTTTTGTTCCCTGCCTCGATTGGGGAGGGGGAGTCAGAAAGGAGCTGCTTCTGCTCATTGTGTAGGGGAGGCGGGATCACTGAAGTCTGGTATTCATAGTCACGGAAGTGCCTAAGAAAGAGATCCTAATGTGCCAAAGAATGGCTATTGTTCAATGGGATGGGGCTTTTCAGTCTGGGGAGATGAAGTAAGATCTGTGGATGGATGGTGGTGACGGTTGTGCAGCAGTGTGAGTGTACTTAACGCCCCTGAGCTGTACACTTAAAATGGTTAAGATGGTAGATTTTATGTTATTTTCGAAGTTGAGTCTTGTCAGTTCCTGAGATATGCTGCCAGTGAGCAGCCCACGGCTGGTCCGGTGTCTGCCCGTGGAGAGGCCTGGACTCCCTGACTTCCCTGCTCTTCTCTCGCAGGCACAGGCTGAGGTGGCACAGTTTCCAGAGCTCGCATCGGCCGAGTTTAAACTCTGTGTCGCTGCAGATTAACTGCCAGTCTGTGGCCCAGATGAACCTGCTGCAGAAGTACTCGCTCCTGAAGCTAACCGCCCTGCTGGAGAAATACACACCTTCTAACAAGCATGGTTTCAGCTGGTAAGAGTTTAACTGCTCCGTGAGCTGTAACTGGAAATGTTTCAGTCAGTTCCTGAGGCTGTCCCAGCACTGAGTATATGGCAGTTCTACACTTTTGTTGTTAGTACTCACCAGAGGATGTTTTTCCATTCATCTTCAGAGCGAGTGGGAGGGAAGGAGAGACACCAGTCAATTGGTTGCCTCCCACACATCCCTGACCCTGACCAGGGGCTGGGGACTGAACCACAACCGAGGTATGTGCCCTTGACCAGACTCAAACGCGATACTCTTTGGTCCACGGGCCGATGCTCAAACCGGCCAGCAAACCGGCCAGGGCTTACCCTAGGATATTTTTTCTGTTGATTTTTAGATAGAGTGGAAGGGAAGGAGGGGGAGAGAAAGACAGACAGAGATAGACACATCAATTGGTTGCCTCCACACCATCCCAACCAGGGCCAGGGATCGAACCTGTGACTCAGGAACATGCCCCTGACCAGGAATTGAATCTCTAACCTTTCAGCCTGCAGACCGACACTCTAACTGCTGAGCCAAACTGGCCAGGGCAGTTCTATCCTTTTAATATCTTTAGCTGACCATTCTAAAACAATCACTCTCTGCCTTGTTGCGGCCACATTTGATGCTATTTAAGCTTTAGGGAATTGCCAGCTGATGGGGTGAGAATGCATCACTCTTTCATGGAATTGTGCAGGCGCCTCCTTCCCAGAGGTAGAAGTAGCCCACCACAGGTAAATATAGGTGCAGTATCAGATCATATTTTGGAAAGAAGGAAGGAAGAATGTAGTTTAGATGACAAGGTGTTATGAGATTGACTTTAAAATGCTTGATGTACAGTACTTGGCTTTATAACACTGGTGTATGTTTTTAGAAAGCATTTTTGATGTGACCGTTTATAGCATCACTCAAAAATCTACCTGTGCTAAAGACTTTAGGTTATGTTTTTTCCAACAGACTCTTATGTAGTGATTAATAAAATAAGGAATTCACTACTCTAAGATGTTGTAGAGGGAAATATACATGAGGATAAGATTTAACCGATGAACTGTCCATAATTACTTATGAAAATATAACCCCTTGGTGTGTATAACTGTTGGGCTGGATGGATCATGGATATGACCTATTGTGTTGCATATCTTACTCTTTTTACTGTCCGCAAAACAGAATGTCTCTAGATTGACATTCCAATCCCAGCACATTCCACAATGTCAGCTGGGTGTCCTTAAGTCTTTCCACTAATCTGTGTGTTTATTATCCAATTGCCCAGTTACTGTTTCTGCTAAAAACAGAGAAGCGGCCCATACATTTGTAGACTCTAACAGCAAGCCGGAGTAGCCGGAGAGTCCGCGGAGCAGCGTAACTGGGCTGCCCCTCTCCTCAGGACGTGTAGTGAGTTTAACTTCAGCATCAAAGCACCTCCTGTTCAAAAGCTGTTATTATGTGAGCCTTGCTAAATACAGAAGTTGTTTGTTCTGAATGACAGAAATAAGTATTGACCGGTCTATCCCCACATGCTTCAGATTCTCGGTGGAGATCGTAATGTGTTCTTTGCACATTCCGCTGCTGGGCTTTGCTCCCCCGACAAAGCGAGTATTATGCACACTTATAGCCGTGATACCGTATACTTAACTGTATGGAAATACAAATTTGGCCCTGTGTTTTAGTTTTACCTTTCCTAAAGTTATAAACAGTACCATGTCGTGGCTGTTGGTAAGCACTCAGAAGTCAAGGCGTTCTGTCTCCTGCCATGTTCTGTTGTGCCGAGAGTCGTATTTCCCTGCTGGCTATTTAAAACTGCATATTTTACATTCTCGTTTCTGAGTTGTCCACCCCCTTCCCACCAAACCCTCAAGAATCTGAAAGTCCATAATACTTCTTGAGTTCTGGTCAGTTTTTCCAGTGAGTCAAAACCAAATGTAAAAGCCTCTCATTGTGGGATCTACGGGCTAGGGAGAAATTCTACACAAAATTCTTTTCCTGTTAGTCCTGGCCCTTTCTTGTCTCATTCACAGAGGTCGTTTGTAGAGCTTGACAGCATTAAATACATGACATTGGTTTCCTGCTGTTGCATATACTGCTGGGGCTGGACCTCGTTTCTGCTCTCCAGGGAGCAGGGGCTAGGCTACAAAACCCTCCTTGTTCTTTTCCATCTTCCTTTAGACACCTGAAGATGTTATATTCTCCGGGCTCCTCGGCTGGAGAATTTATTTGACCTCAGGTCGTTAGCTTGGTCCCCACTGTGGATCTCGAGTTGGCTGCTCCTGTGTTTGACCCACATCATGTATTTGCTGTTTTGTCTTCCAACCTTGCCTGACACTTTTTACCCTAAACACTTGTTCTCATCAAGAACTTACAAGTGATTCTTGTCGGGCTTTCATGACAAAGAGAAACTTGTTTTTCAAACTCTGCCACGAGGCACCTAATTAATTAGGGTCTTACACATTGTTTTCTGCTTCTGTTTCTTCCTGTTTTTTTTCTGCTTCTGTGCCGCCATTTTGTAAGGAAGCCCATCAGTTCCCTTAAGAATATAGACCTGATTCTCGGAGTTAACAGTGGAAGGAGAATCCCCAGCGGAGATTGGACTGGCCTCACAGCCCCAACTCTTGGAAGATCTGTTAACAGCACTGTCCAATGGGACTGTCTGGGATGGCAGCAATGTTCTCAGTTTGCACAGTCCAATATGGTAGCTACTGGCCACAAATGGCCAGTGAGTGCTTGACATGTGGCTAGCACTTCTAATTTTATGTAATTTAAATTTAAACAGCCACCTTAATAGCACAGATCTAGGGCCCACAGGGCTTTTCTGTGGAGATGGACAAGAGTAGACAGACCAGTGAACTTATCATCTCCCCACTAATGTTCTTTAAATAGGGCTGTGCCCAAGTTCATGAAAAGGATCAAGGTTCCAGACTACAAGGATCGGAATGTGTTTGGAGTCCCTCTGACAGTCAACGTGCAGCGCACAGGACAGCCCCTGCCCCAGAGCATTCAGCAGGCCATGCGCTACCTCCGCAACCATTGTTTGGATCAGGTGAGAGCTGCTGCCTACTGGTCCCACTTAATCATGGGAGTTCAGGAGCATGCTTCTTTTTCTAGTTCTGTAGTGAAGTTATTGCTTTCATCTTGACTCTTAATGTTTTTCTTCCAACAGGTTGGGCTCTTCAGAAAATCAGGTGTCAAATCCCGGATTCAGGCCCTGCGCCAGATGAATGAAAGTGCCATGGATTGTGTCAACTATGAGGGGCAGTCTGCTTATGACGTGGCAGACATGTTGAAGCAGTATTTTCGAGACCTTCCTGAGCCACTAATGACGAACAAACTCTCGGAAACCTTCCTACAGATCTACCAGTGTAAGTGTCCTTTGATCTTAACCCTGTTGGAATCAGGAAGAAACAGGACCAACCTCTAGCTTCCTTTGATGTCATTCTTTTGGACCCATCTGATGGCCTCTTGGAAACACATGTCATCAATTTCTTCTTTGCCTCCTTGTTTCTGTGTACCTATGGAATGCAAAAATTTCCCTTGTCATCATTCTCTAATTACAAGCAATTGTACATTTTTACATTCTGATCCTGAAGCTCAATTTTTCATTAGTTTCTAGAACAAGGTTATCTAAGAAGCTTAAAAGGGCAGGAACCAAGATCTCTCTCTCTCCACCTTGTCTATGGAAATTTCAATTGTTTCACATCTCTCCAGCAGGACCTGTTATGTTTAAAATTTCACAGGTGTCTGTGTGCTTTATCTTGATGTTCAATGAATAAATAATCTTTTTCTGTTATTCTTCTCAGCTTCTGCCAGAAATACTTGGAAAAACAATACCCATGCCCTTCTCACTTTTAAGTAAAGCTTAAAGCAAACAGTTATCTAAATTAATGATCAAGATCAGGATTATAGCTTTTACAGCCGTGTGTTTTTCTTGGCTCAGTATAGTATTACAGCAATGTAATTTGAAAGCAGCTTCTCTTAGTGCTCAAATCGTCTTTAGCTGGCGCATTGGACTTTATTTTATGAGAAATGGAACTGGTCTGGATTATTTCATTATTTGTTTCATCCTTTCAGATTTTATAAAAACACAGGTCACATTTTCCCCACCAAGGTATTTGTTATGTACTGTAACCATGGAGCTGTTTAATCAGTTTGTCCTATAGCGCTGCCTTTGAGTGACTTGATTTTTCCACCACATGCCTTTTTAAAAGAAAGATTTGCCTGGAAAAGGAGATCTCAAGGTTGGGTTCAACATTTTCTGCGTGTGTATTAGTTTATGGGTCTAGTTTTTCAAGCATGTATTTTTATAATAGCCTCTCAGTAGGCTTTCTAAAACTTAAAAGAAATTACTAGACAAATTGCATATGTCTGTCATTTAAATGGACTAGTTTTTGAGAAGCTTCCTTTTCCCATTTCAGAAATGAGCAGATCAGTTAAAATTACGAAAATCCCCAGAGATACTGAACATTTTTGTTGGAAAGATGAAGAAATCTTCTTACCCTCTTCTCTATATCTTAGATAAGATTTTTCATTACTGAACAACAGCATAAGTGTAGAGTATTTTCAGTAATTGAGAAGGGTAAATTAGGGATTTCTAAAAAGTACTTGGAAAAGAAAAAGTGTTCTGTAAACTAAACAAACAGGCCTCGTCTGGAGTTGAACTCGGAGGTGGATTTAGGAGTCTATTGGCATTGTGGGTGTTGAAAATATTTTACCTCCTCCACCGGCAGGAAATACTTGAGGGTGGTGACGCTGGTGCAGCCCTAATTTCTTCCATATTAACCTCGAGTACACTTTCTGCAAGTGCTTGTTCAGGACTGGGCTGAGGTCTTTGATGCTGATGTGTTTGCTTTGGGACGTTTCCTTGCGATGTACATGGAAAATCACTGAGCTGATGGGGAAAATGCTGGTGTTGTGCAGATGTGCCCAAGGACCAGCGCCTCCAGGCGATCAAGGCCGCCATTATGCTCCTGCCCGATGAGAACCGAGAGGTGCTACAGACGCTCCTTTATTTCTTGAGTGATGTCACAGCAGCTGTGAAGGAAAACCAGATGACTCCCACCAACCTGGCCGTGTGCTTGGCGCCTTCGCTCTTCCACCTCAACACCCTGAAGAGGGAGAACTCCTCCCCGAGGTACGCGCCCAGGTGTGCACGCGCATGCGCTGTCTTCGGACCGGCGCCCCGCCTTTCCCCGCCCTTTCCCGCCGCGGCGTCCAGTGTTCTCGCGAGATTCTTACCTAGTCAAGCAGAAGGAGTCGGACCTTCTTCACAGCCCACGTGCCTCTCCTGCCTTCCTCCCTCCGTCCTTCCTTCATAGCCCTGGGGCGTGGCTTCCTGGACAGTCTGGTTCTGGGGAGATTAGGATTCATGCTTCGATGGGAGGTGTGCACCCCCTGCTCCCCAGGGCCCTCTGTACCATGGTCGTCATCCTGCCAGCAGAGGCACACCGATGCCCCGACCTAAACAACTGGGTGGGGATGAGAGCCCTGCAGCCTTGGCTTCTGCGTGGCCAGTAAAGCCCAGCTCCTGGCCTGTGCGGGCAATGGAAAGGAAGGAGCCGGGTCTAAAACAACTGAGGATGCCCTGGCCGGTTTGGCTCAGCGGTTAGAGCGTCGGCCTGCCGTCCAGAGAGACCCGGGTTCGGTTCCCACTAAGGGCACGTATCTTGGTTGCAGTTTGTCCCCGGCCCTGGTTGGTCGTGCGGGTGGCAACCACTGATGTGCCCCTTTCACATCGATGTTTCTCTCTCCCCCTCCTACTCTATCTGAACGAAATATCGAAAAAATGTCCTCGGGTGAGGATAAAAAAGTAAAAATAATAAAAGAACTAAGGTTGAGGTTTGTGTCTCAAAGTCAGGACCTGGTCCAAGCCAGGTTTGCAGTTTCTCCTTAGGTGTGTACAGGAATACTTGTAGAAGTCAGAGAACCTGGAAAATGACAAAGGTCGAAGTTTGTTCAGCCCTTATTCTGTCCCAGCCCCAGGACTGCACCCTTGACATTCATTAAATTCTCATTTAATCCCCATCACAGTCAGGGGGTGACAGTAATGTTGGTATCTATTTTACATAAGAGCAAAGTGGGACTGCAGCTGATTAAGTAGCTGGCCTGTGTCTGAAAGGAAGAAATGGCAGAGCTTCCGACTTACCTGACTGTTTCTCCATACGCCTCACAGTAGCGACTGTGAGAAAAGAGTCGCTAACTGAACTAGCCCCACGTGCCAGATCCATCAGCTGATCCTGTTTCTTCAACTCTGGAGGAACTTGACAAATCTTTCCTAGCTAGAACCTGGGACCTCATTGTGCCAGTTCAAAAGTAGCTTTGCTTCTGAAAGCCTTGCAGTGCCTAAATATTCTTGAACTGGTTCTGACCGGTCCAACTTTAATTGGATAGAGAACAGAGATGAGCAGGCAAGAGATCAGATTAGATTAAGGGAAACCCTTTAGGAAATAATAGATTTTCCGCTCACCTTTGGGAGGGGTCCTGTTTATTTAAACTGGGAAGAATAGTGACACTATTTACCCCAGTGTCCAGCGCCTCCCACCCACACCTCCCTCTTAGCTGCCTTTCTTCCTCCCCAGCACACATATATAGACCTTACAAGCTTCTCTATTTAAACAGGCACCTACTTAATGTGATGGCTTTAAATAGCCTGGATTTCATTGAAAACAGCCTTTCTTGTTTTTTTGGGTGGTGTTGATAGAATTGAAAAATGCTAGTGACTAAAGTAAAGCTCTCTTGAACCTTTAATGACAAAGAGGCTCCAGTGAGACAGTTTATTCCTCTTACATTGATTTCAAAACATAAATATTTGAATCTTTCCCCTCCTATTTCTTCTGCCTAGGGTAATGCAAAGGAAACAAAGTTTGGGCAAACCAGATCAGAAAGATTTGAATGAAAACCTCGCTGCCACTCAAGGGCTGGCCCATATGATTGCTGAGTGCAAGAAGCTTTTCCAGGTAAGGAACTGGGAAATTTTGTTTTTTTGTTAAAAGAGTAATGCGAATAGAAACAAAATCTTAGGTGCATTACTTGTTCATATCTTACTTGATCATTTCCCGAGTTGGAGATTATTATATATATTACAAAGTATAAGCTCATTAGAGTTAGTATGTTCAATGAAATTGCCTACTTCCATACATACCCCTTAAAAAAGCAACAAATTATCTGAAATAAATTCTGTATCTGAGACACATGTATTCATCAACGTAAGCTCTATTTTAGTCACTTACCCTGCTACTGTGACTTCATATACCTCACACAACAATAAGCTGTTTAGATACCTTTTTATGAAGATTGTTCACATCCTCCTGATACCCTGTGAGGTGGGCAGGGACATCCTCCACCTATTTTTAAACAGGGATTGGACTGCCTGCACCACCTTGAGGATCCAGCCCATTGTTTCTGTCTTGACACTTCCATCAATGGGCAACAAGAATGCACACAGGCAGACCAACCTCCTTTTGGTCTCTTGTGTCCCTCACAGGTTCCGGAGGAAATGAGCCGATGTCGCAATTCCTATACTGAGCAAGAACTGAAGCCCCTCACTCTAGAAGCGTTGGGACGCCTTTGTAATGACGAGTCAGCTGACTACCAACACTTCCTTCGAGACTGCGTTGATAGCCTGTTTAAAGAGGTCAAAGAGAAGTTTAAAGGTTGGGTCAGCTACTCAACGTCTGAGCAGGCCGAGCTGTCCTATAAGAAGGTAGGTCATCTCCCTGTTGTTGGGCCGTTGAGTTCCAGGGGTCAGGACTTGGGTTCATCGGAGATGAGACCCTGTTTAGCCAGCTCTCTGTGGGGATCCGGCACCCATTCCCTGTCTTACAGAGCTGGGCAGCCCGGTGCCTCAGGTTCCCCGGGTAAGATTGGACACCAGCCCAGTGAGGAATACTCATCTAACACTCACCAGAGGAATCAAAACAGCTAATGCCATCCTTCTTCCACAGAATCACACTAGAGTTCCCTGGAATGTTTTACCAGTGGTGTTGGCTCTAGGGCCTTCTAGAGCCTGCTTTGACTTTTCTGTAATTTGGTCAGAATCCCCTTGCACACTCCACTCTGCTCTTGGCCCTTTAAAGAGCAGGGAGCGCTTAGGGGAGAAATTGACTTGTTGGCACTGAAAGCCTGTGAGGGCAGACACATGTTGTGTGTGGCGCAGCAGGATAGGCCCATCGCAGGAGTTTGTTGACACTGTCTCCGCCACCTTGAAAAGAAATAAACCATGAGAGCAGTCTGCATGGCCATGCAGGCTTTGGGATGCAAATAAAGGATCCTACTTGCTTGTACTGACCCTAATATAGGTCCCAGGAAAACAGATGCAACAATTTTGACCTGAAGTGACACCAGCAGTTCTGTTCACTTTCTGGCCTAACCCTTGAATGTACTCCGGGATGGCAGCCTGTTAAAGCCACAGATAGCCCTGGCCAGTTTGGCTCAGCAGTTAGAGCGTTGGCCCAGAGAGTCCCGGGTTCAGTTCCCGCCAAGGGCATGTACCCCAGTTGCAGTTTGCCCCTGGCCCCAGTTGGGGTTGTGTGGGTGGCAACCACTTGATGTTTCTCTCTCTCTCTCTGTTCCTCCCTCTCTCCCTCCCACTCTATCTGAGGATGAATGCAAAAATATTCTCAGATGAGAATTAAAAAAAAAAATTTAAAGTCACAGATCATCATTAGCTTCTAAACAGATGATCATTTACCCAGCTAGCAATTTGCCTTCAAAGTCTAGGTGTTTGTGAATTGTCTTAGCACTGAAAAATGCATCCTCTCTTCAGGTGAGTGAAGGACCCCCTCTGAGGCTTTGGAGGTCAACCATCGAAGTCCCTGCTATGCCCGAGGAAATCTTAAAGCGCCTACTTAAAGAGCAGCACCTCTGGGATGTAGATCTGTTGGACTCAAAAGTGATTGAAATCCTGGACAGTCAAACTGAAATTTACCAGTATGTTCAGAACAGCATGGCACCCCATCCTGCTCGGGACTACGTTGTTTTGAGGTGAGAGCTTCCAAATTGGTTGTTGTGGCAAGGATGAGCCTGTATGTCACTGAGTATTAAAAGATGGTAAAATTACTTAAAATAGAATGTTTGCCTCCATAAAGTGTCGAACCCTTGCAAATATGAAAAATATATCTACTTTTATTCCAGTAGTGTGTTCATCCCTGAAATGGTTTGGACGCTTTCGGAATTGAGCTCAGAAAGAGAGACACATTCAGTTGAATATGCTTACTGCAAACAGATTCCTGCCCCTTTCGGGATAGATGTTCTTGTTAGAAATAGCTAGTGGGTGCATAAGCCAGGACAGAACATTCGAGTTCCAAGGGCGCTGTGGTTCAAGCTGGTTTACATCTAATTTGTAATTCTTTGGAGACATTATTGAAAGAGGACTCCAAGAATCTTTGAGAAAGTGTCACATCATTAGTTCAGAACTTTTCCAATAGAACAACCCTCATTTAGATGTCCATGCTCTAATACAGTTGTGAAATGTAAAAATGAGTTTCGGACACTTCGAAAGAACTGTGTGAACATATACACCCACCGGAGACTGCTCTGTTCAGAGTTAGTAAGGAGCCTTGCACAGTAGGTCGGAGGATGCCGTCCACACGAGGCTGGGTCACAGCACAGCTGTCAATCCTGTCCTTGAGCTGTCTCTAAGAGTGAGGCCCCATTTTCAGCTTGGCTTCCAGGAAATTTTATTTTTTCCCTCTGGTTTTGTCTCTGTAGGACATGGAGGACTAATTTACCCAAGGGGGCCTGTGCCCTTTTACTCACTTCCGTGGATCACGACCGGGCACCCGTGGTGGGGGTGAGGGCCAATGTGCTCCTGTCCAGGTATCTGATAGAACCCTGCGGGTCAGGGAAATCCAAACTCACCTACATGTGCAGAGCTGACTTAAGGTACGTTCTGATTCTGACTTTTTGACATAGTGAGGGTCACGAAGAAGATTGAGACTTTCTACTGATGCAAAGAATGGCTTAAATGAATACACGTTGTGGGCTGGTTGCTTGAAGAGTGGTGGTTATTAAGTAACACCTTCATATTTCTTAGCCTTTGGCTACCTACCACATCCTGATTTTGATACTTTAGAAAATGTGGCCCTAAGGTCATGAGGGTGTGGTGGTTCTGCCATGAGTTTATTTTTTATTTTATTAATTTATTTTTGTTACAGATGTTGCTCCTTTTCCCCCCATTGATACCCTCCTCCCGGTCCTGCTCCCCACTCCCCAGCATTGTTGTCTATGTCCATTGGTTACACATATATGCATATAAGTTCTTTGGATTATCTCTTCCCTCTCCCCTCACCCTCCCACCTCCCTCTTCTGAAGTTTGTCAATCTGTACCCTACTTGTATGTTTCTGGGTCTATTTTGTTCATTATATTCCGTATATAAGTGAGATCATGTGGTATTTGTCTTTTTCTGCTTGGCTTCTTTCATTTAGGATAATACCCTCTAGGTCCCTCCATGTCGTCTCAAAGGATAAGAGATCTCTCTTTCTTACTGCTGCATAGTACTCCACTGTGTATATGTACTACAGCTTTTTTATCCACTCATCTACTGATGAACACTTGGGCTGTTTCCAGATCTTAGCTACTGTAAATAGTGCTGCTATGAACATGGGGGTACATATATTCTTTCTGACTGGTGTTTCAGGCTTCTTAGGGTATATTCCTAGAAGTGGGATCACTGGGTCGAATGCTGCCATGAATTTAAATGCAAGTTTGAACAAGGAAGCAAAAATTTCTCATTTTATAGTCAAAAGCGTCTCAATAATGGGACATACTCGTTTAGTAATTAATCAGGCCTATAGTTCTTGCTGTAGATCAATGTGTATTAGTATCAAAAACTCAGTGAAATGCAGCATTACAGACACACAAAAAAAAAAACCTCTGAAAAGTGGCTCTCATGTTAGATAAATTCTCCTTTGAAACCTTTATATCTCAGTGCTTCTCCAAGTATCCATTTGCTCTCTTTGTATTAAATATGCCAGAGCCTCCCCTGGGCAGTTTTACTCAGCATCTGTGTTCATGAGAAGCTTAGTTCCAAATGTGTGAGGAGGTGCCAGGACACTGCCGTGGAACAGTAGCAGTGATCTCTACTTATACATCTTGCTGACCACGAAGTGGGAAGTGTGTTGGAAATTCCCTTCAGCTTGTTTCAGGCCTTTCCAACCTGAATAATTCATCTGCTTTTCCTTTCTGTCCAAGGGGCCACATGCCAGAGTGGTACACAAAATCTTTCGGACATTTGTGTGCAGCTGAAGTTGTAAAGATTCGAGACTCCTTCTGTCATCAGAACACTGAAGGCAAAGACAGCAAATCCAGGTGATTGCTCAGGCCGTGCAACTGTCCACCATCCGGGCATCTGTTCCCAGGACCCTTGCCAGTCCTTGGAAGAACGGGTTCTGCGTCTAATCCTGAAACAAACTACAAGTTGGAGAATAGGAATTGACTGTAGCAATTTGATACAATTTTAAAGCTGCTTCCTGTTTGTTTAAGGTCTGTGTTGTAGATCTTGACTGGAATATATGACTGTGCAAAAAAAAAAAAATTTATTGTGCAAATTGCTTCTGAGAAGCAAAACTATAAATACATTACGGAAGATAATGAAGATGCTTCATTCTCATGATATTGGTGTATGTGTACCTATGTCATTTTATGGGCAGCGTGTTGAGGGACTGGTGTATCCACTGGAATAGTTGGTACTCTTTGACATGTTTTCTCACTGAGATGAGCAAGGAAAGGTTTGCACAGAGAAGTGTGTGTATGTCTGTTTGTTGCTGGTTGAATGGCACAGACGTGTAAGTTGGGATGCAGTGTCTGGCACACTGAGATGCCTCCAAGAAGGATATTGATGCATCAGGTTCAGTTCAACCTGAAATAGCTGACTACCCATGGATCCATCCAGAAAGGGGACCCTTTCATTTTGAGGGACAAGTCTACCCTTGTCCAATTTTTTTCTGAGTTACTCAACAGAATCCTCTATCAACCTCTTCTGTACCTGAAAAGTAATTGTAGTCAATGTACTCGGATACCCATTTCAAACAGAGTTTGTCTCTAGAGCTGATTGCAAATAAAGATGTTGTTTTTCACCAGGATAGATTAGTTGAGGGATGAAAACTCCCCCTTACTAGTTCCAAAGTGCTTTGGCTTTTCTTAAAAACTTGAGATGGGAAAACTGAGTACTCTATTATTTACTCCGGAATCAAGCATCAAAACATTTTACTTGTCCGAATTCTTTGCATTGTCATGATTATCACAGAAACTCTTTAAGACACACTATGTATGCAAACATAGGAAACTACGTAGGTCTCAAGAAAATCCCTGTAAATTTAATCCAACCACAAAAGTTGTTTGTAAATTGTTATTAACATACTGAAAGCTGAACAGGTTTATTAATTGGATTTGCCCTTAACAGCAGATAGGTTTTCTAGTTTTATGATCTTTTTCTTTTAATTGCTTTTGCTTTTCCTACATTTTCTTTTTCTTTATAATGATGCCCTTGGAATATATTTTAGTAGTAATGGCAAATCAGTATCATAGTGAAAAACAAAAGCAAAATACCAGCACATTTTTTTTTTTTTGGAAGGGTGGTCTTTATACAGGTTTTACTGTAATGGTAAAGATTGACTTAAGAAACAGTATTAGTGAATTTATTTAGTGTGGATCAAAGTGAATAATGTATGAATGAGAGTTGTAAGAAGGATTTTTATTTTCTTATAATTTAGTTACCATTGTCAGTGTTATTTCAAAGGTTCTTTGAAGAATTGGCGGGGACAGATTAGAGTGTTAAAATTTGAGTATTTTGGATATCAGTGTTTTTCATGAAGATATTCTTGTATATTCAATTTTAATGGCTTTCAGATTTGTAAGATTGTATGTTGTATATACCATTCTATTAAGACACATGTACACATGTCCACTGTGCTTTCAAACATAGATTAAGCATGATAAAGATTATTATTTAAAATATACTTGTATTTATACCTCAGATATTCTTTTGGGTTTTGTACCTCAAGGCTTTTTTTTTTTTTCCTAATGTAAATACACTTTACATGAATACAGTCTAAGAGAAAAAATAAATAAAAGAAGAGGTTTATAATGTGCTCTGTATCTGTACAGAATATAATCGATAAGTGCACTATTAAATGTTTAAGGGAAAAGTCTGGCCTGCTCTCCTTTGCATTGCATCTCACTCCCCCCCGAAAACCACAGACTGCAAGGTGTATCATTCTAGCGTCAACCAAAGTGAAAGCGTGGAGTTGTCGAAGGGAAAACCCTACCGCAAATCATTCCAAGGCCAACTGCAGCTGAGCCACTCCCTAACAACAGGAAACCCTGGTGAAGCTTCGGGAAGCATGGAGATGCTCTCCGAACGCTTGTTAGGAAATGATGCTGAGAAAGTTACAAGAATAAGCAACAGCGACAGAAAGATGTTTATAAACAAAGCCAAGGTCACCGATTCATTCCACAATAGGTCTCTTTCCCACTGTTTGGCTTTCCTGTTGAAGGATTTCTTCCATATTTGACAAGAGGAGATTTCAAAGGACGGGAACATTTGCAAGAACTGCTTACGTCACCTAGAGTGATATTGCCACAACTTACTAATTGTGACTAATGGCCTAGATTGTACGCTCTTTGAGGGCAGGGCTCTTCTGCACATCTTTATACTCCCGGACAGCAGCTTTCAGTGTTTGTACTTGTAGGCACCTAATAAATTGATTATTTGCTAAATGGGATCGATTGAATTAGCTTCTGTTATTTGAAAAGGAAGAGAATCAAAGACACCACCTGTCTTAAGCCCTCACTTTGGCTCCTCACTGCCCATTTTGAGATTGAAGATACTGGAAATTGTTATACCATGTGGAATCTTAAAGTTTAAACTAGCAAAGATACATAGATACTGTATATAGATGCGAGGGATACTAATTCTGAATTTGAGTTTCTTTGTGATGGAATTTTAACTCAGATACAATGCACTACTGATCTTAAAAGAGGTTTGATTGTTGACAGATTGACTTTGGGCATAGAAAAGGGAAAAAACCCAACTTCACTATAATTTTTAAAAAGGCACAGCAGCCCTGACCGGTTTGGCTCAGCGGATAGAGGGTCAGCCTGCAGTCTAGAAAGACCCGGGTTCGGTTCCCACTAAGGGCACGTACCTCGGTTGCAGTTTGTCCCCAGCCCTGGTTGGGTCTTACGGGTGGCAGGCACTCGATGTGTCCCTTTCACATCGATGTTTCTCTCTCTTCCTCTCTCTCTCTCCCGCCCTATCTGAACAAAGAATGGAAAAATGTCCTCCGGTGTGGATAAAACAAAACAAAAAAAAGGCACAGCAGTCCTGCCAGTTTGGCTCAATGGCTCGAGTATCCTCCCATGGACTGAGGTCTGGGTTCGATTCCCGGTCAGGGCACATGCCCAGGTTTCAGACTTGACCCCCGGTAGGGGGAGTGCAGGAGGCAGCTAATCAATGTTTCTCATATCGATGTTTCTATTTCTCCCTTCTTCTCTTTCTAAAAAACAATAAAAACATTTGTTTTAAATTAAAAAGACACACCAGACTGAAGGCTTTTTAATTGGCCTCTGCCTTCAGACCTGGTTTCCTCAGGGCTGTATAAAACCAAAATGTCTTCGGCCTGAAATACTTAATGCTTCAGTGGTTTGAACAGTTCTGAAGTCATGAGTTACTAATAGACTTCATGAGGATATCGGGATGGAGGCAGCACTCCCATGGGCACCCAGGTGGATTTACATGGTTCTAGTGTGGCACCATGAGTTTACTTATGCAAAGCATTTAGTCAACACCTACTGTTTACCTGACACTGCTCAGTGCCGAAGATGCTGCTATGAGCAAGACTGGCCTTGTCCTGCATTCCCAGATGCTAAAGTAGAAATAATAATGCCATGTCATGAATATTAGGGCAGGTTTCTTTGCACTGGGGATGGGTTACCAAGGTCTTAAAATTCAAGGTAATTGTTAAAGCATCCCACCTGCCAATTAGATGGAATTACTTGGAAAATCCCAATAAAATTAAATGGTTGTTTAAGATTGTTTTTTGCTCAGGATTGATGGAGATGGGAGATTTTTGAAAAGGAAAATCTAAAAAAAAAAAAAAAAAAGCTTACACAAGTATCACATGACCTCACTTATTTGTGGAATATAACAAATATGATAAGCTGTCAAACAAAACAGATCCAAAGACAAGGAAGTAGAGAACAGACTGATGGACTAACTTCAGGAGGGGGGTGGAGGTGGGAAAAGAAAAACCAAAGAGCTCATGCCTGTATGCATAACCCGTGGACAGTGTGGTGAGGGAGGGACATCTGTAATACTTTCAATAATAAAGATTAAAAAAAAAACAAAAAACCAGGAAGCCCAGCCAGTGTGGCTCACTGGTTGAGCATCGACCCATGCACCAAGAGGTTGCCAGTTCAATTCCTGGTCAGGGCACAGGCCCAGGTTGTGGGCCAAATCTCCAGTGGGGGACAGAGGAGGCAGCCAATCGATGTTCTCTCTCATCAATGTTTCTATCTCTCCCTCTCCCTTCTCTAAAATCAATAAAGTAAAAAAAAAATTTAAACAAGATAATCCAAATTGGTGCTTTCCAACAGCACTAGTTGGTGTGTGTGTGTGTGTGTTCAGGGAAAGACAGACGATGGAGGTGTGTGGGGTTTTATAGCGACATTCATGATCTTTTATCACTCCTGTCCATTTTACACACATGTATTTAAGCCTCACAGGTACCCCAGGAAACAGGTAGTCTCTTCATTCTAAGGTGTGGATATGGCTTAGAGCGGTCGTGACAATGAAGATAGCCAGAGCTGGAAGAGGGAGTTGAGATTCCAGCCTAGGTCTGCTGCCTCAAACCATGTCCTTTTGCTGACCTTTTCCTAACTGGGAAGCAACTTTCTCTATTAGAGCCAATCCACGTGGCTCGGCATCAGAATCAAGGATTTCTAGGAAAATGAAGAACCATAGGAAAATAACCACATTAGTCAAAGCCTCAGAGAAGTTGAATCATTCTACCATCCCATTGCTGAGAAACTTAAGGAGAAATTAAGTCAAGATAAAAATGAGGTCAAAGTTTTATTTCAGGTTAGTTGCCAAAAGAATTTACAGTTCTGCTTACAAATTGAACATATGATTTGAAATGTACAAAGACTCCACTTAGGCCTTCCTGTGAAACAGGACCTGATTCTCCTCATTTGCAGCACAGAACAATTAGACGTGGTGTAATAGCAACCCACCCAACCTTGCAGTCTCAGATTGCTCCATGGTATGGAGGGGAGAAACATTTAAAGCCACGTGCTGCTTAATGACCAGGATACTTGCTGAGACATGAGTCTTTAGGCCACTATGAGGTGCAAATGGCATTGCGCCCCTTACACAAACTGGATGCCACAGCCCACTACTGTGATTACACTGTTACATGTTTACAACATTATCACACAAACACGTGAGGAACTGGGGTATGCGCCCTGACTGTTGGCTTTTCTTTCTGTAACGCACGAGCCTGGCTCAGGCTTCGACTGCAGAGGCAGCTGCTTCAA